ACGTCCAGATATAACAATGGACAAGGCACAGCGATGGTACGAGTTCCTGGTTATGCACGTGTTCTGTAAGAACATAGGGAATAATGACCGTGAGAGCCTGTACACCGAGTTGCGACGTAAACACGCTACTGAGGCTCGAGACAAGGGACATGAAACAAAGTTTCCTCTATCCCGACTTACGTGGGAACAGTTTTATGATACTGTATCCACCCCTTTTCCCGCACACCGAGTAACATCGAAGGGAAAACCGGCTGTTAAGAAGCCGCGGGAGCACACAGATCACGGTTACGTATCCAGGCAGACCTCGAACGAGAGACCCCAACATACACGTGCTCGTGACTCCACTCTATCCACGCGACCCAATAAACGGGCACGCGCGGAGGCGAAAGACAAGGAACCTCCATTTAAGGAGATTAAGAAATGTGCCGACGCACAGTGTGGGTATGACATGTACCAATTGACCCCTATCGGTTATTGGAATGGCAGGCATGCATCCACCTGTACACACTTTCTTATTAAGTGCGACAAGTGTGAGAAGACCAATGGCTATCACACTAAGTCTTGTGACAAAAAGGCTGACATTAAGTTGGAGTGAAAGTACTACCAGGTACAATCGTTACACAGACAATACAACGACTCTTTAGATGAGCGTGTAATAATCCCTGTATATTGCAATGGAAATAAAATCCTTGCGTTGGTTGATCCTGGTTCTGAAATTTCATGTATATCCGATCGTTTTGCATTAATGAAAGATATCGAAAGGAGAACACAAAAAACTCAACTCAATTTAGCAGATGATAAAACTTCTACGTGTGATACCATGGCCACAGATGTTCAAATCTCCCTGGCCGATGATAGGAATATCACTACCCAAGCTGTGATAGTTAAGATGTCACAGAAGTACGACATTATAGTCGGAATGAGCGATTTACTCACTCTAGGTATAACCGTAGCTGGTCTATCAAATAATATAGATCCATTAAAGGATCAGTCAGACAATAACTGTCTGAATCCATATAAGCCCCCGTCAGACACAGTCAAGGCATTCATCCCTGACTATGCAAACAAAATCATAGATCTGATTCTAGTTGATAAGAAGATAAAGATCACAGATTGGGCAAAATTCCGTTTTAACGACGGGTATATCAGCCTTGACTTAACCAAGGTGGACTTTACACAGTTAAAGTGT